ACATCATGGGGGCTAGGGATGTGGCTCAAGCGGTAGCGCGCTCGCCTAGCATGCGTGCGGCCCGGGTTCGATCCTCAGCAGCACCACATACCAACAAAGATAATAAAAAAAAATAAAAACAGACATCATGGACCCTGCTTATTTCTGAAACCAGTGGCAGGTGAAGAGGGCTCATTAGCCCTCTACCTGTGGTTCCAATTTAAAAATCCCTTTATAAACATTAAAAGAAACAAAAATGGCTTAAAAAAAAAAAAGCACCAAGTCTCTGACAAGTGTCCATGGACTGGAGACAGGATACAGAGAACAAGGACAATAATAGAGAGGAAATGAGAACAAGTAAATTCTGCCTGCTAAGAGGGCCTGTGCACAACACAGGCAGCACTGGTCCACCAAAGCAGGGTGCTGCTTGGAGAGCCTTTGTACGGTAACAGTGTTGTACCTGCACATCCATCAAGGGGTTAAACTGTCCCCAACTAGGAAGCACAGCAGGCCTTCCCTCCTTCCCCCACCCTCACCTGCTAATCTGCTGATCTTAGTGTGTGACTCCTGCTCACCACATGCCTCAGAGCTGCCACTTAGCTGTTCTGTTTGGGGACTGAACTCCCACCAGGGCAGGCTGAGTGGAGCTCCCTTCCCCCGCCCTTGACCCTTCACAGACCTGCTATCCCCTCCCCACCTGGTCCCCACACAGGCATATCATTCCAATTAGAGTAGCAGTGAGTGTTTACCCACACTGTCACCAGTGTGGAGAGACTATTCACAGCTCGTCCTGGACACCGTAATTATTTTTCTTTGCCTGCACAATGGTTTATTTTCCTGGGAACTAATAACAGTCTTGTGTTTTTCTTTGCTTTGTTTTCCGTGCACTTATCACTAATCCAGCCCCAACTCTGCCAAGGTTTAAATCTCCTCTGCAGATGTCCCAGCACATCGGGTGTCCTGTTAATTTCATCATCTCCTTCTTCCAAAAAAAGTCCCTTCAAGGAGCTTTGTAAGCGGCTCAGGGCAGGGACCTCAACTCCCAGGGAGCTGCCAGGCACCAGGCCCCACCCTGCCTGCAGCCAGCTATCTCCCCACCCCCATCTCTCTCTCTGGTGCACCAGCTTGTTCCGGGATGGCATGTTGGCCAGTCACCTCCTTAAAGTTCAGAGGTGGCAAATTTGGGGAAGTTCTTGGAGATGTCAATTCTACCCTCCTACCCCTCATGGTTGACAATGTTTTCCTTCAGAATTTTGAAAGCAAGGCTCTTGATCTTCTAGTGTCCAAGGCTCCTGTGGAGTCCAAAGCCATGCTGCTTCTTGGTGAGTGGGGACCTGTCTATGGTCTGTTTTTATTTATTTTTTGCTAGAAGCTACCACAGATTCTGTGTTCCCGTGTTCTATGAACCTACAACAGGGTGCCTTGGAGCGGGCCTCAGAGATCTTTCTCCACCTCACTCATCACTTAAACTCTGGAGCTGACAGCGTCACTTTCAGATGAATCCCTTGCATGCCAAACTTCCGCTAGTCTCTGCCTGAGACAGCATCCCTCACCCCCAGATCCTCCTGCCCAGGCTTGGTGGGGATGGAGCTCTGCACACCAGGGCTACCTGCATTCTCATCTTTGGTGCTGGGCAAGTATGTGGGTTCCAGAAATTATTCTGTGAATGATTTCATGCTCTTTTCTCAGTTCTTTCTTGCTGAAACTCTTAATATTCAGCTGCCGATTTCCTGAACTAATTCTTTGTTTTTCTTCTTTTTTTCTCTCATTTTTTTTCCATCTCACTGCTTTTCTGTGCTACTTTTATTTTATTTTATTTTTGTGGTGCTGGGAATTGAACCCAGAGCCTTGTGATTGCCATCTGTTCTACTTTCTGAGAGTTTCTCAACTTTATTTTTTACTTGCAAACTGGGTTTCTTATTTCCACGGTCACTCTCTATATCCAAGGGTTCTCTTTTTGGATCTCTGAACATTCCTTTTTTTGGTAAAACTTTCCATCCTTGTTCCATGTCTACAATATCTTCTCTCCTCTTCACTGCAGAGCAGGGGCGTCTCCTTCCTGCACACTGGCTGCTGCTCCCAGGCGAGTGTCCCTCCCAGGCGAGTGTCCCACCCGGGCTCCCACATCAGGGTGCTTCTTTGGTGTCCTTGGTTAGCTGTGCATACTTCAGGGATGGGGGTAAAAGAACCTGGGTGTTTTGAACACTAGGAGAGGGTTATTAATTTTGAACTGTTAGTAAGTGATCCAGCCAGGCCTTCTTGCCAGGGTCCCCCTTTATTGATATTTTTACATCTTTTCTCTTGGGCTTCTCAGATTCCCCAAAGACTTAGCCATCCTCCTGCCTGGAGGGAAAGACCCACTGGTTGTGTTCTGGAGCTTTCTTGTGGCATCCTCTTGTGTTCTGAATAGCAGTGCACCTGCCCTCCACCCCCGCCCATTCTCAGTGGTGCCTGGTGTTTCCCATTCTTGTCTGAAATACTTTTAAAGTTTTTAAATAGTTACAGAAACCACCTCCTTGGCTAACAGCAGGAAGCATTATGTTAGAAGGTCAGTTATCTCCAGGCACCAGCCCTGACTAGAGCCACCAACTGGGTGTGAAGCTTACAGCTACTTTCTGAAGAGAAAGAATCTGAAACTTGAAACTAAAGATTTTAAAATTAGAGATTAGCTGCATTTGTTTCAAAATTATCAATAACCAGTCGTCTCTTTTCTACCTATAGCACCTTCAGCCCTGGGCCTCTCTAGAAGAGAATCACCCACCAGCCTTGATACTTGTGCAGAGTGGACAGTGACCCGCCTGGCCACAGGCAGCCCTGCAGTGGGCTACGTCTTCCCCCCTCCTGCTCCTACCCTGCTCCAGCAATTCCTCATCAAAGGTGCCAATGATGCCCTCAGCGCCCATTCAAGACATCCAGCTACCTCTGCCTTCTCTCTGCCTCTCCCCGCAGCCCACAAGACACCACCACCCAGGTGAGTCTCTAGCTTCTTGCAGCCCCCCATTCTCCCAGCCACTGTCTTCAACACCCCCTCCCCCTGTAAGCCTACCCAACAGTCTGCATCTCCTCAGGCCCTAAATCCACTTCCTATTTCCACTAGTATGACTAGCCTGTCTGGAATACAGATCCAACCATCTTCCACCCAGACCTCAACTGCTCCTCTCCAAGGGCATGAAACTCAAACTCCCCAGCTTGGCTTTCCAGGTCCTTCCCAATCATAAACGCATCCTTCTACCCAATCCCCATTCCAGGAGGAGCAACTCCCAGGTATCTCCACTTCCACTGCTCTGCTGCTACTCTGTGATATTAAGAAACAAACTGTCAATATGTGCACAGAATTTCAAACATAGTATGAGGGGTAAAAGAAGTCTGTCTCAAAATGTTGCATACTGACTCCACCAGAGTCTTCCCCAAACTCATCCCCCAAGGCCCGCTCCACTGTGGAAAACTTCAACTCAACAACTAAGCTGAGCGGCTCCCTCTTCCCTCGCTCTGCAGACGTGTGGCTTGTAGCACCAGCCACCCTGCATTAGCTCCAGGCTGACCATGGAGCAGCCAGCCCAGGGCAAGGCCCTTGGATGTGTACTATCCAGCCCAACTTGCTGTCCTGCACGTGACTGGAGGTTTGATGGAGCTGGGGTGCATCGGGTGAGCGGACCCTGCCAGCCTGCAAGCCTCAGCACAAAGTCCTATGGACTCATGTGCAAGCCCCTTGCCATCCCAGACAGACACACTTCAAACCCACAAAAAGGGGATTTCACATGGCAATTTCCAAATTATCCTTGTTTTCTCTCCTTCCACCCAGACACCAGCGCTGACTCACATTCCCAACACATGATGCTCCCAGAGAAGGGCTGACCCAGGCTAAGCTGGGTCCTGCTGTGGGGGCAGGGAAGGCCCAGAAAGCTGCTCCCAGATACCCAGAGCACTGGTGACAATGCAGGGCACCCGCAGACAGATGCCGGGACTTCACATTCTTATTCATCCCTCCGGTGTCGGATTATAAAATAAATAATTTAATAATTGTGAAAACACTACAGCTTGTTGTGCGCCCTGCCAGACGGAACCCCTGTGCGGGCCAGGGGCTTGCTAGCCATGCCTTTGGGCCAAGAGCCCGAAGAGAAGATAGGTCCTCCTGTGAGCGGCTCATGCAAGGCTTCCTCCCCATGAAGAGGCAGGGGGGCTCCGACTGGAGCAAAGGGTCACTTAGGTGATGCTCTGCCACCTCCGCCTGGAGCTGGGGTCTGCGCTCTGCTGGCCTGACGCAGCGAAGGGAAGCGGAGTTGGAGCAGAAAGCCGCCAGCACACTGTGGGGCAGGTGTGGACCCGGGGGCTTGGGTGGGTGCACAGACTCTGCCCGCTGGGCAATGCACACTAACCACCGCCAGGGCTCCTCGGGACGGGTTCTGCGGGACACTGCAGCACCTTTGTCATCTCTCAACAATTATTGATTCTGCTCGCAGATGCTCAAGCAGCCAAAGAACAAAACTGCTAACGCCGGCAGGGCCAGGAGCTCGGTCGCCGGAGGAGAGGTGGCCCGCAGAGGGGTAAGGGGAACAGGCGGCCGCACGCTTTCTCCGCGCATCCTGCGGGCCAGGACCCCGCAAGCAGAGGGCTCAGAGAGGGTGATCGCCAGGCCAAGGTCACACAGCGAGCCGGTGCAGGGACTCGAACCCGGGGCGCGCCGGACCTGCCAAGGCCGGGCGGGGAGCACCGACCCGCGCCCTCAACCGGCCACAGGGCGCCCTACTCGCGGGACCCCGGCCCGTCCCCGCCTGAGGACCGAGTGCCGCACGGTCCGTCCCACGCCCTAGCCCCGCGCTCCTTTCCTCACCTCGTCCCCGCGCCCCTTTCCTCACCTCGCCAGCCTCTGCCGCCGCCGCCGCGCGACTAGCGGACTCTCTCCAGGCACGGCCCCGCCCCCGGCGCCGAGGTCCCGCCCCCAACATCTTCTCGCGAGAATTCGCCGGCGGAGCCGCAGAGACAGTGAGCGCCCCCTCTCAATGCGCTTGCGCCCTCCGCACATCGCCCCCGCTATTCCGTGCCATGTGGCGCGGTATTTACCGCCAGC